ATTTCGGCTTGTGTCCTCTAGCGTGTGGTCTCCACAGGGTCAGCGAGCCCCCACCGGAACGTGAGGGCAGGGCAGTGAGAAGGGGTGGGAGGTGGGAGGAGAGGCCCAGCGCAAGGCTCAGAAACAGGAGGGGAGAGGGCCGCGGCGGTCAGGGAGCCACCAGGATGCTCAGGGACAGCCCCAGACACGGGGGCAGGAGGAGGAACACCGCTGGATACAGGGAGGTGGCCTGGTTCACCACTGCGACTATCCACTTACTATAGAAGGCAACATCCGTATAAACTCCAGGAATGTTGTTATGGCCGCAGCCGACGCCCCAGCTCACAATCCCCATCTGGACCCATGTATCATTAAACTCACAGACCATGGGGCCCCCAGAATCTCCCTGCGGAAAGAGAAAGAAACAAGCTGCAGAGCTGGGAGAGCATCCACGGAAGAGCAAGCCGATCGCGCTGCACAGCGCTGGGGAGACAGGTGCGTGTGGGCCGCGCCCAGGCCCCGCCAGGCCCCGCCAGGCCCCGGTTGCTGTGACTACGAGAAGAGAGAACTGAAAAATGAATGAGAAAATTTTAATGTCTTCTGAGGATATTATGTCTGGTTATGTCCCAAACCACAGAGGTCGTTAAACATTTTGAACGTCACCTCTGCATGACAGCCCCCAAGTCCTAGGGGTCTACATAGCCAGCTGCCTCCATATTCTAAGCTCTACTCCCCGACACCCCATACACACGCGCCTCACACAGAACTCTTCACGTCTTTTCCCAAGTCTGCTCGGGTGGCCCCACCACCCACCAGCCCGGCCGGAAATGCCCAACCTCTCCCTCACTCCCACCCTCACAAGCAGGCAGTCACCGAGAACCGAAGATTCAACCCAAACACCCCTCCTCTGCCCGCCCCACGGCCCCAGGTGCTGCTCGGGACTCAGCATCTTTGCCAAGTCTGCGCTCCTGTCTGGACAGCATCTAGGAACTGGGCATAGCATCCCAGGCCACACACAGTCTGACTCCAAGCCCTTCTCTGGCCAGAGCTGCCACCTCATCGCTCCGGACCCGTGAAACGTCCCTTAAACGTGACAAGGTCCCTCAGGCCTCTGAGCCGCTCTATGTGCTGTTCCCTCTCCCTAAAACACTGTTCTCTTTCCAAGAAATCCAAATACTCATCATCTCAGACCTGACTCAAATGCCCTCTCCTGAGGAAGGCAGCTTGGGGCAAAGGGCAGACTGTGGGCCCGGGAGCCCTGCAGGCAGTCACAGCGGGACCTTGCGCTAACGCCTTTAGACCGCACATCTGCAGAACAGGCGTGATGTCTATGCTGCAGGGTTGTGATGCGGGTTAACTGAGCTCATGTGGGCAATGCTCACAGTGGCACAATAGGAGCCACTCAGGAGAAGCTCACACATGCTCCCCACACCCCGGAGTGCCCGCCCACACACGCTCCCCACACCCCGGAGTGCTACCTGGCGGTCAGGCTGCTCCCTTTTGAAGGAATCTCCTTAACTAAGGGGTGAAGGGAAGAGATGGTAAATAAGCCAGGCCCTGCCGCTTGGGAATGAGGAAGTTTTTCTCCCTCAATGCAGAGGTAGAAGGGGGTCCATGAACTTACCTGACAAGAATCTTTTCCTCTCCCTTTATAGCCACAGATCATCCCTTCCAGCACCACCTTATTTTTTGCTAACAGGGTCTTCTGGAGAATCTCATTACATTTTTCATAGAAGATAACATTCTGGTCCACCTTCTGGAGAATATACGAAATAAGTTCACCTACAAGCAAAGAAACTCGGCAGTGGGTGGAACCGCACAGGTGGACAGTAAGCCCCCAAGCACCTAGAATCCCCCTTGAAGAAGGTAGGACAGGAGGTACTATCCCCATTTGACACCAGAGGAAACTGAGGCCCAGAGCTGACATGGAGAGAAGAGAGAGGTGAGGCCTTACCAGCCCGAGAAATGATAACCAAGCATCTGTCACTCTGAGTATTAATAATAATAGTGACAGGTGTCCTGTGCATCAGTAAAGTATCTCTACTTGGACAGGAAGTGCTCCAAAGATGCCAAATCCAGCCTCACCCCAGAGACGGGAGGCTCTACAGCCTCACATGGCTCTGCCTAAACCCCCAAAGACAGGAAGCTCCTACCCACCAAGGCGGCTCATCACACCCTGAGCGGAAACCTATCCTGAATAGAATCCCCTAGCATCTGGCTCCATCCCCAGGGAACCTAAAAATATCCCCAAACCGGGCAGCCACAGTCCCCCCACAAATCTGCAGAAGGGGACTTCACCTATGTATTTCTTCTCCTAACTGCCACTCCAATTTCCAGGACTGGTACCTTTCCTAAATGGCTGCCATCAAATATTTGTGTTGCAACAAAAGACCTTAACCAATTTCTGGGTTCAAGACGATCAGGAACCATGACCTTGGCAGCTGCTAAACTGCTGCCCCTGCACCCACCCGCCGGGCAGTCTGCCTCCCGGCCCCTCCCTTTAGCCTCCTTGCCTAGTCCAAGGACAAGGCTGCCTCCCTCGGCCCGAGATTGCTTCCTGCCTCACAGTCTCACCAAATTCTTCTTTTCTGCCCCATCCGGTCACCCAGCACCTGGTCTCAGCTTGCACCTTGAAGGTTTCCTCAGGGATGCAGATAGGCTGGATGGTCACCGTGAAATTTACAGGGTAGAGAAGCCAGAGAAGGGCGAGGTCATGTCGAGTGACTCCAAATGATGAGAACATAGGGTGGATGATGATTTTTTGGACAGGAACCACCACGCTCGTGACTTCCTCATAGACATTCCGATCTCCCATCTTGACACTGTAGTGGAAGCGGCTGTGGGACAGAGGGCACGCCCTTGGCTAGGAAGCATCCTTCGTGCCTTTTCCACACATTTCAGATGCTTCCCAGTCTTACCCCAACCTCCCTCACCAATCTGCCACCCACCACCAAAAAGCGCTCCTCGATGACTCTCAGAATTGGTTTACTGGCCCAAACCACTGGTTTTGTTCACCACACCAGTATTCCTCAGAACAGGACTACAGATGTGAAACCCCTTCCGCTTGGATCCTGTGTGCCTTGGTTTGGGTTGGGCTGGGCTGGGCTGGGCCCGGGTGGGTTAGGTTGGGTTGGGTTGGGTTGGGTTGGGTTTCCGTTGAAGGTGGAATATTTGTTGCCTAAAAGGAACGATTGATGTTTGGGTTGGGTTGGGTTTGGTGTTTGACAGCTTGCCAGGGCAACAGAACTTCGTGGGTGTGGGAACTCGAAAGTCTCCACTTGCCACTCCTCACCTTAAAATGCAGTGGGCAGCGGTCAGCACCCACTGCTGCGTGATGAGGGAGCCTCCGCAGACATGTCTGCCACTGACCCTCAAGCTCACCTGCCAGGGCCACTCTCCGTCTTTCACGTCCTCTCCTCCCACGATCTTTATGAGCACTCGGCCACACACTGAGGTGAAGACAGCGTAGGAAGAACCTCGAAGAACAGGCCTCGTCCCCCCTGACCCCCCACCCACACCAGGCTCCCCAGGAAAGTAAGAGGTGCCCCTCAGGCAGCTCCCGAGTCCCCAGACCATGTACCCTCAGACCTCCCATGGCCAAATCGTGTCCCCCTCAGACCCCTAAGGGCAGAGCCTCGTTCTCTCCCAAACTCCCAGGAAGCACCAGGTCCCACCCTGACACCTCAGCCCTCTCCTGGTGACTCCCAACACGAAGAGTCACCTGGGAGAAAATCCACCACATTGAAGTTAACCTGATGGGATTCGGGAGCCTCAGGGGACCCCGGAACCCCTACGGGTGGCGGCTTCCACAGGCTCTCTCCGGAGGCCCGGAGGCCGCCCCCCAAGGCGGTTGGAGGGGGCGAGGGCAGCGCTGACCCGCCCTGCGCCCCCTCCCCGCCCGCCCGAGCCTCACGGAGCCGAAGCTGGAGGAGCAGCAGCCAGACCACAAGGCTCAGGAGGCGGCCGCCACCCCGGGGGCCGCCCAGGGACGCCATGGGCACCGCCGGTGGCGTCAGCCTTGTCGGGGCGCCCCCTCGCGGCCTGGAGGCAAACAGGTGGAGGGGAGACAGCCGACTCATCCAAGGGGCAGAAATGGCGGGTCCTGGCTCTGCAAGCTCCCCTGCCTGAGTGGGAAATGTCGCACGCTCAGTTTCACTCGGATCCTCACTGCAGACAGTGTCCAGCCAGAGCCCTACCCAGGACTTAGAGGTTAAGATACTTCTGAGGAAACTGTCCTTGATAGAGACCTCTCAATTTAGGGTGGGCACTTCAAAGGTAGGCGCTTCCCCCACGGCCCTGCCCCTTCTGGTGCCTGACTTGGCCTGGAGCTGGTGAGAATAGGCCATCTGAGAATTAGCTGAGGAACACTTAGTTCTCCAGTTTCCAGATTTGCTACAATATATTACCTAAGATGTCTGCTTTTCAATGAAAAAATTACAAGACATGCAAAGCAACCACAAGGTTCGACCAGTATATAATAAAAGTAGATAATAGAAGCTAATAATAGAAGTAGATAATAGTCTTTGAGGGGCCCTATGTGTTGGACATAATAGACAAGCCTTCAAAATAGCTATTTTAAATATGTCCAAGGAAATTATATATATATAATTTATACACACACACACATACTTATATATGTGTGTGTATATACATATGTGTGTGTGTATATATACACACACATATCTCAACTGATCAAAGAACACATTTGACAAAATTTAATACCCTTTCATGCTAAAAACATTCCGTAAACTAGGAATAGAAACATCCTCAGTATGATAAAGCCATGTGTGAAAAACCCACAGTGAAAACCATACTCAATGGTGAAAGATTTTCCCTAAGATCAGGAACAAAACAAAGATGCCCATTTTCACCGCTTATATTCAATATAGTACTAAAAGTTCTAGCCAGAGCAATTAGGCAAGAAAAAGAAATAAAGGCACCCAAATTGGAAAGGAAGAAGTCAAATTATCTCTGTTCAGAAGACATGATCTTATATATAGAAAACCTTAAAGATTACACACACACACACACACACAAACACAGAAACTGTTAAGAGAATATAAACAAATTCAGAAAAGCTGCAGCATACAAAATCAACATGTGAGTATCTGTTGCATTTCTGCCCACTAACAGTGAACAATTAAAAAGTAAATTAAGAAAACAATCTCATTTACAATACCATCAAAAAATAAAATACTTAGGAATAAATTTACCCAAGAAGGTGAAAGACATTGAAAACTACAAAACATTACTTAAGGATATTAAAGAAGACTTAAATAAATGGAAAGACATCCTGTGTTCATGGACTGGAAGACTTTATATTGTTCAAATATTAAGATTCAATGCAAATAAAAAAAGATTCAATGCAATCCCTATCGAAATCTCAATGAAATTTTCTTTTTTTTTTTTGCAGAAACAGAAAATCCACTCTAAAATTTATATAGAATCTCAAGGACCCCAAATAGCCAAAACAATCTTGGAAAAGAAAATAAAGTTAGAGGACTCACACTCTCTGATTTCAGAACTTACTACAAAGCTACCGTAATCAAAGCAGTGTGGCACTGGCATCAGGACAGCCCTATAGACCAATGGAATAGAATAGAGAGCCCAGAAATAAATCTTCACATATACGGTCAAATGATTTTCAACGAGGGTGTCAAGAATGTTCAAGGGGGGAGGACAGTGTTTTCAACAAAATGTGCTGGGAAGACTAGATATCCACATGCAAAAGAATCACGTTGGACCCTTATCTTACAAGATATGCAAAATCCAACTCAACATGGATCAAAGACCTCAATGTAAGAGCTAAAGCTATAAAACTCTTAGAAAAAAACATAAGGGGAATACCTTCATCAACTGCATTTGGCAGTAGTTTCTTGGATGACGCCAAAAGTACAGGCACAAAAGAAAAAAACAGATTGTATTTCATCAAAACTAATAACTTTCATGTTATAAAAAACAGTATCAATAGAGTAAAAGAACCCACAAAATGGGAGGAAATATTTGCAAATCATATATTTGATAAGGGATTTATATCTAGAATAGATAAAGAATGCCTACAACTTCACAAAACAACAACAGCAAAAAAAAAAAAAAATTAAAATGGACAAAGGAATTGAATAGACATTTTTCCAAAGAAGATACATAAATGGCCAATAAGCACATGAAAAGATGCCCAACATGATTAATTATTAAGGAAATGCAAACCAAAACCACAATAAGATAACACTTCATTACGATGGATAAAAACAAAACAAAACAAAAAAAATACAACAACACAGAAAATAAGTGTTGGTCAGGATATGAAGAAATTGGAACCCTGTGCATTGCTGATGGGAATTTGAAATGGTACAGCTACTGTGGTAAGCAATAGGGCAATTCCTTAAGAAGCTAAACATAGAATTGCCACATGATCCAGAAATTCCACTTCTAGGAATATACCCAAAAGAACTGAAAGCAGGGACTCTAACATATATTTGCACACCCATGTCCATATCCTCTAAACCTGTGAATGTTCCGTCCTTAATGAGGATGTTTTCCTGGACTACCTGGTGAGGCCAGTATAATCATGTGAATCCCTAAAAGTGAAGACCTTCCCTTGGCTGTAGTCAGAGGGGACCCGTGACTATGGAAGACAGATTAGAGAGCTGCCACGTCGCTCACTTTGAAGATGGAGGAAGAAGGGACACAAAACAAGTAATGCAGGTCGCCCCTAGAAGCTAGAAAAAGCAAGGAAACTGATTCTCCTCTAGGCCTGCGGAAGAAATGGAACCTGCCGACGCCTTGACTTGAACCCTCTGAGTCTTATTTCAGACTTCTGGGAGGCATACAGTGAAGTGAAAAGTGCAAAATGCAGAACGATGTATACGGTGTGATCCCATTTGGATAAGAGCACAAAGCTCTTGCTACATTCAAAGCTGAGTGTCTACATGCGGGGGCCCAATAAATCATAGATGTCTCAGTGTGATTGCTACCCCAGCAAAGATTCCTCTTCTCTGTAATTACCTGTCTCCATTGGGTGCCCACAGGTCTCTGAGAGGTGAAACCACTCCATTGCCCAACTGTAGAGATATTCACCATTATCCCATCCAAAGTAATAACTGTTCAGTCAGGAATAGCGGGTGACCCAGTACCAGCCAGTGAGATCAGGAAAGGTTTTGCCATGACCGCAGGAGACGAGGCCTCCTCATTCTTCTCAAGAAGTTTCCAACAGCATGCCCGCTCCCCTCGCCCTGAGAGTGAATGGAAATAAGTGGGCTCACTGGGCTGGCGCAAGTCCACAGGAGCCAGCCTCTGACGTCATCGATCCTGAAGATGACAGAGCACAGAGGAGGAGTAAAATAGAGGCCCTGGGTTCACCCACGGAAGCCACCTGACCAATGCATTCTTGAGGGACAGCCATCCATTAGTCTTCTTTACACACACAGCCACTTGACATCAGTGCTCTGTTCCTTGCAACAGAGCATCTTCTGGTTGGCACAGGCATTCGTTCAACCTCCCCTTCGCAGTCTGCGTATGACCCTCCCAGTACCTACATCCACACCCAGGCCCAGTCAGGGGACCAAGTCTTCTGCCCCCAACCCCAGGGAGGACAGCAAAATTCCATGATGGAGACACCTCTCAGTGAGGCGCTTTTGAAAACTTAAACTGTCATCTTTATGAGGGTAAGGGAGGAAAGTGGGGGGAGGAGAAGGGAGGGCGAGGAGGGGAGGGAGACAAGGCAGGAGGAGGAGGGTACCGGAAGGGGGGAGTCGCGAAGGCAGAGAAGGGAAGGAAGGAAGGGGAGAGGGAAGAGGAAGGAGATGAGGGAATGGGAGGGAGGCAAGGAGAAGGGGGAGTGGAGGGAGAGAGGGAGAGAAAGGAAGAAATCGAGTTATATGCAGGCAGGAAGATACAAAACGTATCATTTGTGGAAGATGTAATTGCCTTCTGAAACACATCCAAATGAGCCCACTGAAAAACGAATAAAACTATAAGAATAAACTAAGAGGGCTGGGGGAAAGGATCGATATACAAAATCAATAACTTCATATTCTGCAGTAATAACAAATTAGAACATAAAATAAGGGGAGGGGGGGAAGATATTCTATTAAGGATGGCCACACACATTTTAAAAATACCTAGGTAGTCTACGGCCATGCCACCCTGAATAAGTGGGATCCCATCTGATCTCGGAAGTTAAGCAGGGTTGGGCCCGGTTAGTACTTGGATGGGAGACCACCTAGGAAGACCAGGTGCTGTAGGCGTAAAAAAAATTAAAAATAAGGGATTGCAAGCTGACAAGTTCCTTGCAATCTGTGAGGTCAACCAAGGGTTGCTTCGCCTAAAAAAATTTAAAAAAACAAAAAAAACAAAAAAACTCAACAATAAGAAAATCAAGTACCCAATTAAAAAATGGGCAAAAGACACCTCATTTAAGTAAAATAAAAAAAATAATAAAATAATAAAATAAAATAAAATAAAATAAAATAATACCTAGGAAACGGCACAAGGCCTTGCGCCATCTGCCTGGGTTTCTCTGACCCTTCCTCATCACTCTGCTCAGCCACGACTGGCCTCTTTGATGTGCCTCACGACCGGCCCCTGCCTCCTGGCTCTACCCTCTACCTCCGCATAGCCATCCACAAAGCTGGGTCAATACCAGGGTCAGCAAACTCTTTCTGTAGAGGCCAGATAATCAATATTTTAGGCTTGGTGGACCAAGAGACAAAATCAAGACTATTATGCAGGTACTTACATAACAAGAGAGAAAACGAACTTCCACAAGATGTTTACTGATGAAATTTGAAATATAATAAGAACTGAGTACGGTTGTTTTTGTTTTGTTTTTTCTCATACAGGTCAACTAAGGACGAGAACGGAATTCTTTTAGAGAGATGACATCAAAGTTAGTGTTCCCAACCGTGGAATCGATTGTAAATGCACTTCTGTAAAAACCATTCTCAGCTAAGAAATGGTGGGTCATATTTGGTTTATACTCGAATGTCACCCCCTCAGTGAGGTTCTCCTTGGACACCCACTCAAAAATTGTGCCTCACCTCCCACTCTGCCCACTTGATCCCTCTCATCCTCCTCTAATGTTCTCTGTAGCACTTCTCACAATCTGACATCCGATCGCTTTTACTCACATGTGTATTGGCTGTCTCGCCCTTCCGTATGCAAACTTTATGTGGGCAGGGTTTTTGTCTGTCTTGTCACTGCCGTATTCCCAGCACCTGGAACATATCTGGCACATAGTAATGCTCAATAAGCATCTGTTGAATGGATAGACGAATAGAATTGCAGTGAAGAGAGAATGTATTAATACCTCTAAGTGCTTAGAGAATTGCCTGGCACAGGCGGTGCTCAAAAAAGTATTCATTCCCTGCTAGTGTTTCTTTCCAGAGGGGCCTCTGCATCTGTAAAGTGCAGGTCCCAGAGCAGACCGGCGAAATCTTCCAGCCTCTGGACACGTCCACCGCCCGGCTACCTGCCTGCTTCATCTCCCACCTCCCAAGCCTGCCCCAGGAAGCCCAGGCCTGATGCCTGGCCTCTCAGCTGAGAGAGTCCCCTCTTCCTGCCCTCTGGAAATCACTGTTCCTGGGGTCCGCCTGCTCTCCCTTGCTGGTCCCCCCTCTAATCCCACAGCAGCCCCATCCCCCGGTGGAGGAAGTGAGAAGCGAGAGGTTGAACGGTTTGCCCGAATCACACGAGGCGGGGGTAAAGGGAGCCCAGGGCGGGGCTGAGACGGGGCCCAGGACACACAACAGAGCAGATAGACAGATGGACAGATTTTTGGATGAGCCAGCAGCTGAGCTGGAACTAGAAACCAAAGCCCCTCCTCTCTGCCGACTTCTCCGCAAGGCCAGGCGTCAGGGGCTCACTCGGGAGCCGGCTCCCGCCCCCTGGCTCAGGGCCACCCGTCATCCCCGTGAGGTCAGCCACCGGCCCGCGATTTCGGGGAAATACCAGCTCCTGATTAAAACCAGGCGGTGGTCAGGCCCCTGCTGCTTTCCCAGTAGAAACTAGGGTGTTTGTTCCGAGAGGAACAAGTGTGGGCAGGGCCTGGCCAGGGCCACTAAGGCGGGAGGCTTGAGCTGCAGTACCTGGTCGTCCCGGGAAACCCGGGATGGGGGAAGAAAAGGGGGAGATCTCGAGGTCTGGGGAAGGGCAGCCTGCAGGGTGGTGACTGCCCCACAGCACGTGGAGTTGAGCCGACCAGGGAGGGGTCGCGGACTGGGGCCTGGAAACGACGCAGGGTGCGGCCGGAGAGCCTTCACCAGGACACCCGCACTGGAATCGGGCAGTGGGCGGGGCCTCAGGGCTGGCGGGAGGGGAGTGAGGCCCTCCCCTTCCGGGGTGGGCAGCCCCCAGCCCCAGTCCCTCCGGGGCCGCCACCTCCTGGAGCCCCGGCGCGGCGCCCGGCGGGGGGC